TTCTGTCTGCATCTAAGAAGCCACATCCTATTCCCTTCCCTCCTCAGTCTCAGGAGAACACCAATCTGCTTTCTGTTTGAAGATTGGTTGGTTCTGCAGTTACAGAAGTAGACTCACGTGGTATGTCTTTTTCCACCAGGCATAATGTTTTCAAGGTTCAGACCAATTATAAGTTGGTGGTGTCTTATTTTTGCTGTGAAGGTTGGATCTACAGTTTTATACACAACAGGGCTATGCTCTACCATTGAGCCAGACTGCAGTCAGTGCCTTTCTTTTTTTATTATTGTCAAATACGACTCCATCATATAGGTGACTATTTGTTTATCCATCTATCAGCTCAAAGAAACTTGGCTTGATTCTATTTTGGGCTACTTTGAGCAATACCTCTATGAGTGTTTATGGACAGGTCTTTATACAGGCATAGAGATGCTCCTAGGAGGGTTGAAGATCTGTGAACAGAATCATCAGGTCATATGGTAACCCTGTTCAAAGATTTGTAGTTTTTCTTCCGACAGGGTCTTATGCATCTTATGTATCCCAAATTGGCCTTGAACTCATTAGATTCCTGAGGATGATCTTGAACTCCAGATCCTCCTGCCTCTGCTTCCCAAGTGTTGGGAATATAGGCATGTACTAACATACCTGCCTTCTAAGTTCTAATACGCTTTCAAATATTGTTATAGTTAGGGTTTTTATTGCTGTGAAGAGACACCATGGCCACAGCAATCTTATGAAGAAAATATTTAATTGGGGTGGCTTGCTTACAGTTTCAGAGGTTCAGCCCATTATCACCATGACGGGGAGCATGGGGGAGTATAGGCAGATGTGGTGCTGGCTACATCTTGATATGTGGGCCACAGGAAGTTGACTGCCATACTGGGTGGTATTCTGAGCAAAGGAGACCTCACAGCCCACCCTCGACAGTGACACACTTCCTCCAACAAGGCCATACCCACTCCAACAAAGCCACACCTCCTAATAGTGCCACTCCCTATGAGATTATGGGGGTCAATTACATTCAAATCATCACATATACATTATATATTTCCAGAATCACTTAACTGATCTTATATCATTGCTACAACTGCCTGAATTTCTTTGTGGGTTCATGAGAGACATGCTTCCTCAGAAACTAATCCGTGAACAAATGCCACAGGTAAGTCCTTCCTCCTCAGTGAATGTATTGCAGCCCAGCCTGGATGATGTGTGCCAACCACCCTGGCACTTGTACTTCCTGACTCCCATTATGTCTTAAGTTAAGCACAAACCTTTTGTCTCCCCCAAAACATGAGCTACTGGAAAAGCAAGATCCACGAATTATCTTTCTTCCATCCGCTTAGTCAAGTATGTGATTTAATTAAACGCTAAATGTTAAGGAAGGACTATCTGCTGTACTTCTTCAGTTTCTGCAGAGCACTTAGCTGAATGTTGGGTATATAAAAGGTGTTTACCTAATGCTAAAATAAGTGGATTTCGGCTTCCTAAGATGTCTCCCTAACATGACTTCTAATTTTGAGCTTAGCATGACTTCCACTTGGCAAGTACAGTTTTGGCACCCAGCATTCCCCTTCTACCTGACACCCAGGGAATCCTTCCATCTCTCAGGAAGGAGGCTCCCTGGCACATGTGACATCAGTCTTCTGTTGTATTGGGTAAGGAGAAGAGAAAGAAATGAACCAGGCATTTCTCTCCTCTTTTCTGATCCATAGCAACTTTCCTGAGACACACTGGCGTTGTCGGTTCTTAACTTTCCTCTCTGAAGCATTATTTTGTGGCAATCTTTTCACCACTGCGCTAGGCAGAATAGGAGGAGGGAAGTAAGATCGTTAGCTTGAAACTGCAAAACCCTGACAGGTCGCATAGGCTTCCTTTACACACTTTCAGCCCCAAACATTTTGTCTTTCATCTTGAAAGATACACACTGTACAAAGGCTCATCCCATCCTAGCAGAGATGAAGCTCAAAAATCCTAGTTAATAAAAATTATGAACAGCCAAGACATACTCACAATACTGTGCCTGTCATTTTAAAAAACTAAAATACATAAACCTGCTCTTCATTACAGCCACCTCTTTTGAGGGTTCAGAGGCTTTTTGTGACATTCAGTTATTATACTACATATATGTGTGAGTGCCATGAGATAGTGTTTTCCGGATCACAGAAAGACTGTCCTGCTCATACGAAACTTGTATTTTTTCCTCACAAGGTAGCCGAGCAAAGACAGAGACCAGCCAGGCAGCATAAGAGAGCAGATATGGAGCAGCTTCACAACTGCCATCCTCAAGTCAGACGTCAGCTCTCACAGGGGACTCAGTTCTCCTTGTACTGAGATTCCTTCCAGGCCAGGGTGGGGTGGGGTGGGATGGGATG